AAATTCTGTGCGTCTCCTGGGGGCTAAGACCCCCTTGTCCTTAAAACCTAGTGACAGCCCTGTTCAGTATGAACAGTGATAGCAGGCTGCTGTTTCTACTTTCATCTGTAATAAAAGGCGTGCTGCTCCAGGTTCAACTCATCACCTCTCGCTGTTTATCATCGGTTTAACGCGACATTAAACCCGAGTTGTTTCAGTTTTTAGGCTCTAATCTTTATTTAAAAGAGGAGAAAGTTTTATTTGTTCAGATAAACTGTCTGATCCGTGGGTTTTGAGAGAAAACAGCTGAATCAAACTGTTGCTCAGAGGAGAAGCCCTCCCCTCCCCAGCGGGCAGGGAGACGTCTACCTGTCCGTTTGTCTTGTTGCTCTCTCCGGCTGTCTCTGCGCTCGAGGCGGTCTTGGCCAGCTGCGCTCCCATGGTGCCGCTGTTCTCTGGAACAAAGGAAATCCAATCGATCCAAGAGAGAGAAAAAAAGAAAAGAAAAAAGAAAAGAAAGAACAAAGACCCACGAGCCTCTTTGTTCAAAGCTCTCCGCTGCTGGTCCTCACCACTCTGTTTTTTCTCAGCACCAAAAGAAAAAAAAAGAAAAGAATAAAAAAAAGGAAAACAAAGTTCAGCAGCTGTTTGTCAGGACTGCAGCTCGCGCTTTGAGAAGTAATAAAATCCCAGATTTGTGTCCGAGTCGCTGCAAAATGGAGAAATGTCCCCCTGCCGTTATTAAGACGCACAATCCCACAGATGAATGGGCTCTCAGAGCGCTCCCTGATTCAGCCAATCACAGCCTTCATTGACGCCCGGGGGCGTGGCTTAGACAACAGAGCCTGGCGCTGCCTTTAAAGAACGTAGGGATTTTTTTTATTTATTTCAAACTGATTTAAAAAATAAAAATCAAGCAATCAGTAGAACAAAAAGAYAAAACATGCATACATAAGAATGGTATTCTTGCCTGTTCAACATACTGTGCCAACAAGAAAAACAAGGAAACAACAAGGAAAATCATTACTTTAAAGATTTTAAACAGACAATCCCGAAACAACATAAATTTTTTGAAATTTTAAAATTCAGAAATGTCAAAAGTATTGAATAAAAATGTTATTTTTCCTTAAATAATTTATTTAACTATGGCATAATAAGTCACTCGCTGCCTTCAAAGCCACAGTTTTAGATTTAAGGCCAAAACCTACCATAACAGTCCCAAGTGCCCTTAATGGCTAATCACTACATAATAGTTACGTTTTTTCCACAGAAGGACAGGTATTAGTGAAATGAAATAATATAAATTAAAATAAAGACAATCTAATCACCAAGGTACTGAAACACTTGAGCACATGATGCTTACCAAAGGCTGATGACATCAAGACAGGAATGAGCCTGAGGCAGGACAGTATCACTCATGGAGGATGTGAGTGAGGATGACGACAAATAACTTTAAGCTTCAGTCAGAGAGAAGATGATATCTAGGAGCAGATGGAGATACTTTATTGCTGCAGCCGTGCTTCAAATATGACAATGATTTTCATAAAAAATGGGAATTAGGCCACTTGAGCTATCATCACAATTCAATAATTGGTTAACAGATTAAATTTTTTTCTATTGCTAAGCTGCAATGACTATATTAAATGTGACTTATGCCAAAACCTAAATGATTGCAGCTCTCTATCCAATAATCACTAACTTCGAAGTTTCTTTCATATCTGTCCATTGTTCATATAACAAACAAACACCGGAGTTAAAATATAATCTCTGCTCTCAGTGGCACAAGGCATAGATTTTTATTAACCTGCACCAAAAAGGGAAGGCAGAGCTGTAATAGTTTTACACGTACCTGCATGTGTGTTACCAAAATGTTGAGTAAACCTCTGGATGGATTGAATGAAACATTTAGAAAGTAATCACTAGCTGTGTTTCCACTGCAAATGTGTGTAAAACATTGTTGATATTCTGTTAATGTCGAAAAACACAGTTTCACAACTGCAGTGTTTCCATTAAGTAAGAAATACTATTAAAGTCACGCGTGAATACGTTTGTTCTCGCGATAAATCTTTATAAACATGACGGCGATGGATGTAAACACATAGCATGTTGCTACCACGACACTAGCGCTCATCATCAGAGGAGACGTCGGCGTCTTTTATCGAGGCTTTCCAGAGACAAGTCCCTACTTAGGAGCGGCTACGTATGCTGTGTTTTTGGGAAATTGTAGTCGGTGAGTTTACTATTTTATACTACTTCTGTGATATTACTACTACTTCTACTTCCTCTTATCTTCTTCATCATCGTCTTTTTCACCAGTAGAAACAGCCGGTTGTTGATCACGTGACTCCCGTGATGCAAAAAAAGTGTTTCTATTGCAGTTTTACGAAAAACACCAATTTCGATACGGCTGAAAAACCACCTCATCCTGGTGCAAAAATATTTTGTCGAAAAACGTATTTTTTAACGAAATTGACGTGTTTCGTTGAGTAAATTTATTTTCGATATTCTAATTTGCGCATTTGCATGGTCAGTGGAAACGCAGCTATTGATTTATTGATATTTACCACTAACCGTGTTTCCATCAAGACTCGTCTGACGTAGTCACAAGTTGCGTAGCCTCGTCTGTCGTAATCACGCGTTGCGTAGCCTCGTCTGACGTAATCACATGTTGCGTAGCCTCGTTTGACGTAATCACGCGTTGCGTAGCCTCGTCTGACGTAATCACGCGTTGCGTAGCCTCGTCTGACGTAATCTTGTATTGCGTAGCCTCGTCTATCGTAATCACGCGTTGCTTAGCCTCGTCTGATGTAACCACGCGTTGCTTAGCCTCGTCTGACGTAATCACGCATTGCGTAGCCTTGTCTGACCTAATAACACATTGCGTAGCCTTGTCTGACTTAATCACGCATTGTGTAGTCTCGTCTGACATAATCACACGTTGCGTAGCCTCTTCTGACGTAATCACGCGTTGCGTAGCCTCGTCTGACGTAATCACGCATTGTGTAGCCTCGTCTGACGTAATCACGCATTGTGTAGCCTCGTCTGACGTAATCACGCATTGTGTAGCCTCGTCTGACGTAATCACTCGTTGCGCAGCCTCGTCTGATGTAATCACATGTTGCGTAGCCTCATTTATTAGCATCAAACAGTCTAGAGGAAAACTAGACGGAAACAGTCTAGATTCGAATTTTTATTTATTTAATTTTTTGAGAACTTTGAAAAGTTTGATAATAATTCTCTCTACAACTGGATGGGAACACGATTACTGATTAACTTTTACAGTCGATTCAACTGAAAATGACTGCTGTAGCAAAGTAACAACAAACAAAACGTAGAATTTATTCAGTTTGTAGCATAAGTGTCCGGATAGAGATCTGTATAGGGCTATTTCAATACAAGTATTGGTATACTGGAATCAATACTCTATTAAATATGTTACAGTTTACATTTCAAGTGAACTGTTTGTTACTTGCATGTTGAAGAAATTTATACAAGTTGAAAGAAAATCTAATTTGTAGTTTTTATTTATTTGGGACGTGTCAACAGTATTATTCTGTGTATGTGACTTGATTCAGCCTCTAAGGAAGGACAGACACCTTGTTCTAAATAAAAGAAACATGTTTTTAAAGTCATTGCATACGTTTTAACTCAGTAAATACTCGGGATCGGTACCTGGTATCAGCTAGTATCTAAATGAAAGTACTCATACTCAATTTTAAAAAAAGGGAAGAAACAGTATTGGGAGATGACTGTTTTTCTGTAATCAAGGTAAAATTGAACTGAGAAGTAGCTGAGAGTCATTCACCACACATACTCAGAGCATGACATTTCACAGTATTGCASGAGAAAGCCTTTTACAAAACAACTGAATTAATAATTAATAATAAATTCTGATCCTGGAAATAATTTGTAACAGTTTTTCTGAACAAGTTTCACATGATGGTCATCAGATGTGACCGGCTGACTTATGTCTGCTTTGTTTCTAGTTGTTAAAACAAAGAGGCGGACGGATACTTGAAATAAAAAGGAGATAAAATGTGACAGATGCTGTTTTAAAGATGAGTTTCTGCTTTAGTTAGAGGGAATGCAGAAGGACTGGTCGACCATCAGACATGTCCCACATGACAGTGTGAAGGTTTCCAAACAGTCGACATTTACATTGCAAATCCAACAGAAACAGAAATAACTGTTTTTAACAACTGTGAGACAGATCTAACAAAACCGGTTCTGCGCATACAGCTGGAGCTGGTTCAAATTCCTGCTTTTAAATGTCATCAACTGCAATGCAAAGCAGCATTCCTGCATGAGACCACTGTTCATGTTCCATAGGATGGGTGCATTTAATTTTTTCAAAGGTTAGGAGCAAATAAGACATAACAAATAAAAGACAGAACAGTAATCTCAC